TTCCGTGTCCGTGATGCCCTAACCTACGCATCAGGACTTGGACTCTGCGAGCAGACGAGGCATGCGGGTCGCGTTATTCTCGCAACAGCGGTGTCGGAGAGTCACGGATGCTGAGGAAGTAACGCGGTTATGCACGGCAGAGGGTGCGAGGGGATGGGAGTGTTCGAACTACGGGCAACGATCAAGATCGAGGACGTTACCGTTTTCGCAAGGATGATTTAAGGTGTTGGCGACACGGTTTGCGATTTTGGCGCACTATGCCGGTTGGAACGGTGCGGTTTACCGATGTGCTGGATCGTTCAAATTACGGCTGGTGACGTACCGCCGGTTTCCCGGTGATTATGGTCGAGAGGTTCACGCTAGCTATTTGGTCTGAATAAGGAAGGATGGACTTCGGTGTTCCCTCGGCAAGGAGGATCCACTGGACCCGCTCCAGAACTGGTACAGGAACGAATGGAGACGTTGCTTGTGCGCTTCGCGCGTTGGAGGCAATTTATCGACGATGCGGGACGTTGACAGTTGTTCGATACAGAGGTGATGCAGAACACCTGGTCTAGGGCGAACTGGAAATAAGAGGACTCTTCGATAGTCATTAGGACCAAAACTCACGGTTTCTCTGGTATATGTCCTTTCATGCACGTGAAGCTTGTATTTGTGATTGTTACTGCCGCTTGCTTGTGTGTGATGATTACAATGAAAGATAATAATGCTATAAAATTTTGAAGAAAAAAATTGAAGGCGTGGGCCATGCTTTGCCTAGTAGTGCCCACATTGTCGTACCTGAGCAATAAGTCAGACTATTGACATGTTGCCTTTGGCAGCTGAGACTTCAATTTTTCTAGAACTATTTCTTCCTTCTTCATCACTTCAGATTAGGATCTTTCAAACGCCGAACAAGTAGACCATCCACCAGGAGACAGGCAAGGGCATGCTCCCTCAATGCACGGTGCATCTATGGGTCACTCTACTGCGAAATTGGCTTTTTTGTTCGAAGATGACCCACACCCCAATTATCTCTCGGCTGGCAATCTCACTGCTCTACCCAGCGCCACTGAGATGGATCTGCATAAACTGACCCTATTTGTTAGAGCGCATCCGACTTGCTAACACGATGGAATGTAGCCATCTCCGTAGGGTCATAAAAATTTGGAAATATTGGGCCTGTATCTCACATACTTTGAGCTCGAATCAGCTCCAAACACGATATGAAGTCCCCGTTTCCCCTCTGGTTTCCCTGAGTTCCTTTCGAAGATCATCCTGCGCATTCACCAGTGTTGTGAAGTGGGTGAAGTGTGCTAGCGAATCCACAAGCAGCAGTAGCCTAGCTTAAAAGATTCAGGAGTTATGACAGCAAACGCCCAAATCCCTCTATGTCCGATATTATGCACGTATTATAAGCCCACGCTTCTTTCTAGATGAGCTTGCAAATTAATCACCGAATAAGAAGCGCGGCGGAGGCGTGGCGCACGTCAAGGCAGCGGATGTCAGTGCAAGCGCACGCTCGAAGCCTTCTAACACATCTTATGTTTGACACGGAATTGCTTAGGGTCGATGACGTCGACAGCACAATTGGCGACACATTCTATCTAAAGGTAAAGCAAGACAAAGTCTGTTTTTTTCCTGAGGTCACTTCACCCCACCTTGCGGAGAATATTCATGAGAGATTGGAGACCTTGAGGCTTGCAGTTTATCCAGCTCCGCCATTTAGTCCTATCCTCGCACCAGCAAAAGACAACCTACAAGTCCGAGGTATAGCACTCCTTTTCAGGAAGAAATTTTTACGCTAAGTGAAGTGACCTCAAACCCGACTTCCGATCTTTTTTCAATCAATAGCTCCTGGAACTCTGTAAAGCGGTTACATCCCCTCACGTATAGGCAATAGTTTGTATATAACAAAGTTGTATGTTAAGATGAGCAAACATTTCATAGAGAGAGAAAAATCAAAAGTGAGAAATGCCCAAAGTGATTCCGTGATTATAGGACTACCTAATAATAATGTGGATTTCGGACTTTGGAACACACTTGAATCTAGCTAGCCTGACGAAATCGGCCAAAACAGTGCAATCAGAAATCAATCGAAAATAATGACAATAAGATGTAGAGTGAAATCAATCGTATTGCAGCAGCTGGTGCTTTCTTTCCCGAGATCAAATCCTGGATTGAACGCTGTCCAGCACACAAAAACCTTTTTTTTACAAGATCGGCAATTAGAAAAACACTGAATTGTACACAGGCTGGCCCTCGCAAGTGATTGTATTAGGACGGTCAAAAAGTACCCGCCGTTTTGACCCCTTAATTTTGAAGCACCACAACTTTGCTGGAGCACAATCTTTTTGTTCGAAATACAAATTGCTATGTCCAGCAGATTGTTCACAGTCAGACCCATGCTGAGAACTTCCCTTCCTATAGATTTTGATTATTATAGGCTAAAAGCTGTAGAAAGGCGCAGTTGACATGCCTCAGTTCTCAACGCGATTTCTCTTCCAAGAACTATGTTGAGAAGTGGGGATTGGTGGTTAGTGAAGAATGTACCTGGGCTATATAAAGGATAGCAAAAGAACTCCTGAGCCATTCCTGAATGATTCTACAGAGCGTGTAGCGAAGTACCAAATCCCAACATTCAAACATGATGGGGGAAACGTTATGCTATAAGGCTGTTTTAATTAATCTGGCTTGGTCCACTTACTCTTATTGAACGGTAAATATGGACTCGGCGTAATTACAAGGAGACTTGGAGTGTGATGCCTATATTCGCTAATCGGAACTGCACTCCGACACGATAGAAAGGTGAAACTTGGAACGGTTCCGGCTTGGAGCACGCTTTGTCCCTCTCAAGTCAGACGACGGGGATGGAGGAAGTCTCGAAGCCTGCTCTTCAGAGCGATGTAACTCCTGGGAACTTCGCAAAAAATCTCACAATCTTAGGTTGCACGGATTTCTACTCAAAAGAATAGCAAAGCTGCCATGAACTCCAGAAAGCGTAATGTCAAAAATGAACTCCTCCAAGTACATGCGCGCTTCTGCTGCTCAAAGGTTAGATCTACTTCGAATGCGGTCTTATGCGCACTGTAAGCATGTTTTGGAGTTTCACATCAGTTCGATTCTGTAAAGCACATAAGCTCTACTGAATGTTCAACCTCGAAAATTATCTTTTCATGGTTGATGGTGCACATGTGTTTCGATGCTTATACTTTCTTTGAAGCCAAGTTGTTGTGAATTTCTGAAGCAGTAAAGAAACTGAATACTACAAGTCACGAAAAAGGTCCCAAACTTACAAAAAAAATTATTTTTCTGAACTATGGTTCCTCTCTCTATGAGTTTCCGCGCCGATCTCAGAGAAGTGCCTGTTTCATATTGACTAGCGATAACTTTTTCGAATCTGTTTCTTTGAAAGCCGCTGAAATAGTGGAGAACCACACGATCAGCGCTTCTACAAAAATCACGAATCATTAATGAATTAGGAATTTCTTTTGCCGGAATTTTCTACTAGGCCTTCAGAAGCCAAACCTCCGATTTCACAGGACTTTCTCGCATTTTGGCTTGGTCTTGAAGCATTGGTATTTGCAAAACTTCTCATAGTCTGAAATGAAAAGCGCTTCAGAGTAGCAAATCCTGCCCTGTGAAGCGCTATGCGCTCGCCTAGTTTTTGCGCCTTTACAGTGTTCACACGTGGATTTTTTTTTATTTTTCCAAAATTTCATTCGTCTCCCAATCTGCCAGCGCGAAGGTGGCTTGCCTGACATCATATTCCTCAGACACTAGATAAGAAGGGGTACATGTTGGCGAAGTGTCATGAACTCACTGAAAATCTCGAATCATCTTTCCCTCAGGTCAGCCGTGCCTTCCGTTCGTCAGTTGATAATTCTTCAATTCAATTCTTCCCATCGATTGATACCAGGTATCTCGGTGAATGAAAAACTTGTACCTTGCACTTTCGGGGTCGCTTGACCCGAAAGTCTATGTGCAGCCAGATCTCATCGAAATCGCACCTCCCTACCCAATTCTTCTTTATTTACCCCTTTTTTGAGAACTCACTTGCGAATTATTAGGTCGGTTTAAGAAGTATCCGCCGTTTTGCACTTCTAGTAATTCTTTCCATTTTTTGATAAATTCTTCCGCAACGATTTAGATAATTCAGGTGTTATCTTGTAAGGGAAAGCCAGCCCTTCCATATGCATACGGGGTTTGAGGTGAGTTTATAACCTTTGTTGTCCTAGAGTTATTTTTGAAAACACTGGAAATCGTGATTCTGACTGTGGGCAGTTTATGTCTTCAGACTCGGAAGTAACGCTCCAGAGGCGATTATGTAATATGGCGGCTGCTTTCATAGGAAAAGCTTCCATAATTTGCACAGCGCAAAATTACGTCACCAGGTCTGGGTTTGAAGAAATAAAGCTTGAAAGTGATGCACGTAGTAAGAGGAATGCCCCCAATGTACAGGATTGTGCAAAAGAAACGAAAGGAGCTCATCACATGGGCTAAACTGCAAGTAGAGCAGGAGAGGTTGAAGTCTCCAGGGACATCGTGCTCAGTCGCCTGAACGCTATGAAGGAGGAGCAGAAACGTCGTCACTCTGTCATTGGACTGACCCGTGCTGGTAGCTCGATTCGTTGCAAAGCACATGGAGGTGCGCACTTGGACTCTACATTGCAACAGGAAAAGCCGCTTCAGAGATGCGTAGTGCAGGATGAAACTGTGAATCTGCACAGTAATAATGTAAAGGGTGCCTGACGGACGAACGAGATTGAGTTGCCTTGGACCATCATGAAACCCAGAGCGCTTCCAACAGGGATTTTCCTCAGTGTTTGGTGGTGCAGCTCATTGGCAGGTCTAAGAATCGAGTCAGTCACCGACGGTGGAGTCTTGTCGTTAAGTATAGGACGTAATGCATAGGAAACTGCACGTATGATAGCCTGCGCGAGGGAACAAATGAGGTTTGATCTGTCACCACGATAGCGGTGGACGGCGCACCGCAAAATGCGCTGTGTAAAATACATTCAAAAATAAATTCATGGTTGTTCCGCAATCCTTCCTACAATCCAGGCATATCCTACTATATTATAAAGCGCTAACTTTGTGTGTCCGGTTTTCGTCGTATCTGTTGTTGTGTGTGAGTGTGTGTGTGTGTGCGTGTGTATGTGTGTCCGTCGCAAATGACCGTGACGTGACAGAGAGAAACTCATGCGGCATAAACAACATCCGCTAACAATCGGGTAGCTTACAGGATTTGAAAGATATCAACTGTTTTGTAGCAGATAGTTTGTGATAACACTCTTAGCGGCTATAATAAAAACCACTGCTTAGCACACTTCCGGTTCATTCCACATGCGCTGCTGCAGTGGCAGCTGGAGGGCAGTGGAGAAGGAAGGGGGATGAAGGAATGGGAACGAAATCTAGCCGCATAATCATGATTGTGTGCCCTTTACTGTTTGAAATCACCATTGTGTTGCCATACGCGATCACTTCCACGAGGTTGTGTGTGGCTGCTCACAGCGAGGAAGGGACCAATAGCGGATGGATAGAAGCTTTGCCGCAGGAAAGGCAAGGTCCAGGCGCTTGACGGGCGGACTCATCTGGTCTATGATAAACCACCAATTTTTAGAACTTCAACGCAATTCTTTGGAGAGCAAGATATGCCAAAATTGCCTTCCGACAGCTTTTGCCTAATCATAATTTAAATTTTTATCATGAGGGGACATATCTAGCGTGGGTATTAATAGCAACAATACGATAATATGAGGTGTTTTTTAAATCAACGCAGAAACAGTGTTTAGCCAGTTAGTGGTTCAAAGTTAGGCGTATACGGGAAATTACTTTTTGACCGATGATTCCTTTCAAGCAAACCTCAAACCGTTATTCCTAGCATCTTGAACGCTGCGACTTGCTATTTGACGATAGGAATCGTTGCTTCGAGTGCAGTGTCCAGGCTCGTGTGCTTGGTCTGCAGATCGTAAAAAAATTGAATTCGTGTAATGACGCCACCACGAAACGTAAAAACTGTGGATGTGAACAAAGTGTGAGTAGTGACATATGTAGCTTAAAGGTGACCCCTTTGGAATAGCCATCGATGTGCCGAAAATTGAAGCAGATATGATTCTCGGCCAATTTCACGTTTTTTATCACACTATAAGTATAAGCTCTCTTTAAGATCTATGATCACAGAATTTCGTGGCGCCGAACTGGAAAGCCGAAAAGGGCTAGTGCCTGCGCTTGATCGGGTACCACCAGGGGCCCGTCGCACGGCAATAAGGCTGGTCGGCGACGAGTTCAAGCGCTGGTGTCGAATGTAAGAGGCGAAAAGGACACTGCTATTTAACTGTGAACCGCGGTAATGCCTATACTGTCGGTGACTCGTCGCTAGCTTTGCTGTCTTGCGCGCGACGGGCCTCCCTGGAGGACCGCTTGATGCGTGCGACCACTGCCACCCTTACCATTTGCCAGCGATATACGTGAATTCAGCGCCCACTCCCCTACGTACCTCGAGCTCTTAAAACAAAATAAAGACACCAATTCATCGCCGATCTGCGTGCCTCTAACACCTCTAGAAAGAATAAGCTTCAAAAAGGTCACCACAACTCTAGCTGCAAGCTCGAAACAATCAAACAGTGGTTCCTTCTCGTGCACACGAAACACACAAAAAGAGATGACGCCATCAGACAAAGCTCCACCTACTCAAGTACTTCGTTTACACTTCCAAAATCTGCTCAGAATCGCAGCGTAGATACATTATTCGGAACATGAAATTCTTGTAGGACTGTCATAAATTCTAACCCAATCCCAAGAGAAGTATCACTTCTCTTAGACAAATCTCAAAAAAAAATTGTGAGATAGTCTAGAGGACCACATTTCGAGTTCAAAATGGCCTTGAAAACCACAGACAAGTTAGACTGATTAGGGATTCACAATATATTCTGTGCTCTATTTGACCCAGTAATAAGAAAAACCACTGATGACTGATAAGCACAGATGATTCCATAGCGTAATTTCAACTGATTCTGCGACTAAGCAGCAACACAACCATAATCTTTTATCTTGCAGATGAAACTGCATAACGTTAAAACCGCGCATAAAATTTCAAAAACGCTCATCCATCTAATTCTCGACCCAAAAATCCAATCCGTCTTTGTCACGATCTTCCAGCTTTCTCGCTCTTCTTCTTCTCCTCCCCTAGAGATCACTAGCAGTTCCTGCCAATTCAGAACAAAGACACACGAGCAGATAGTTATGATTGTTAATCATAAGCTCTAAGTGTTACGGACAAAGGATGACATTTCCAAGATGCTAAATTACACAACAATTCGGAAACTTTGAGGTCACACTGATTGCGATTTGACTGAATAAAACTGAGAAAACTAACCGATGTGAAAACTCAGAGCTTTCACATCGCATCAGGGTCCAGTGTGCGTCGAGGAATCCTCGACAAGTCGACAGGGGGACGGGTTGGTCTGCTAGGAGGAAGATATCGGGCCGAAGTTGATGCACGAAGAGTATCATCACTGTTGGAGAGCAGACAGCAAGGATCGAGTCGATGCCATGGAAGGCCCCCGAGAATTTCCAATGACAGTTTCATTGAAGTCTCACATACCAGCTTCGTGATTCTATGAGGTCCACCGTAGTAATTCTTATCTTACCGCTATTTACACGCAAAGCTTGAAGCTCCAAAATTGCACGTTTTCGCGTATAATTTATTTTCAATTGAGTCCTTGAATGACTGAGGGATGCGAGCACACGGCACGGCGCATCCCAGAATGGGCCCAGTTAGTTGCGCGAGCTTCAACTATGGCTTTTATAGAGAGAGAGAATCTCAACTCAGGATGACCAAGAAGATTCTGAAGGAGTGCGTGTGAATTTCATAGGGAGGAGTCCACTATTGAGATGCCGCCTTCAGCGTCAAATTCATTTTACATAGAGTAGGCGCTCAAAAGTCTTCTGGAATACATTTTCGACTGTAACTTTTTTCTGCTGAATCAAATCTTTTCAAATTTGCTATGCCTTGAAGACAGACCTTACATCATTACCTGGCGTATTTGTTTAAGGGGAAGAAAAAATCAAGGAATGAAAAAAATCATTTCACTAGAAATTTCCGGGTATGGGCAAATTCCAAGTAAGTTTCCAAATCACTGTAGAAAGCTTACAATTCAACAGAACAACTACAGCATGATGAACAAGGTTGAGTAGGTTCGATAACTTTTGCGTAATGATCTTCTGGCAGTTGCTAACATCTTAGCAAAGCCCAAGTAAGAATCAGTCATTGAATGCAATGCACTACGGCACCTTCGTCCATTTCTCTTCAAATCTGACCAATTTCTGCGTCCATACCCTGGCTCTTTATTTCCATCGAAGTATTCCAACTGTTTTCCGATAATGTTTCGATAACGCTCAGGACATGTGTGTGTGAATTGCCCTTCGTTGAAAGCACAACATGCTAGCGAGGACCACTCCTTCACAGTGGAGGTGCGATGCTTTTGGTCGCTCTTAATGCTAGCCAGACGAAGTATAGCCGTACAATGGCCGGACGTGTGAACACAACAATCTTCTAGAATCTGCCAGTGTACACCACCTTACCTGATTGCGATTCCGGGGAAGTTCATCCGGCGGTGAACTGGTCGGGGGCAGAATGGGTCTAGCGCACACCTAAACTGGAGATCCCTCAGGACTCTAACGTCATCTGAAGCAAGTAAAATAGTAGTAAATTCAACATGTTAAAGGCACGAGTCGGGATTGAATTGATGCTTTATTTTATTCAAACATTAGGCAATGGGTGCAATGAGGAATTATGAGGAGAAAAAGCAAACAAGTGCCATAGAAAACGCTAAAGTTCCTTTAGGAGGCCGGCTGTAGTACGACGAGAGACACCGCGCTGCAAGGAAGAGGAGAATGCGAGACAGTACGTTCATACGGCGAGAGGACGCAGAGATCACGTATGCGCAGTGGATTACGTCTGGCAGCGCGGCTTAGCAAGGCCTTAGCGTCATTGCCGCGCAATTTTTGTGTCGCGAGACGTGTCGCGTCGTTAGTGCTTCGAGAAACCACTATCGCACCTGCGAAGAACTCCTGGTGGTTGCCTAATCCTGACTCGTGGCTTGAAGCGGCGACGGCGATAGGCACGTGTGGCGTCCTGACGGAAATCGTTTCAATCCACAGCACTGACTGCCATACGCGAAACTAGGCGGAGGCTCGAGTGTGGTAATCTGTATAAGATACTTCACAACTGCCATAGTAGAGGAACTGTGTGAATGCCGACGTATCACGAAGATTCTAAAAGGACTTGCGTGTCCACACGTATGACATTGTGCCGTGGACGAGTTCGCCTTCTGGCATTAGAGCAACCGAAACATCGCACCCTCTACTGTGAAGGAGGGGTTTCGACAGTCATGAACGAAACTAATACACACCATGTCCTCAGCGCCATCGAAACAGTTTTGGATAAAGCGTAGGGGTATTGGTATACCTTGGTAAAATATGAGCTAGGAATACAGTGCGTACCAAAAGTATGTGGAACACCCTAGAATCGATACTCAGGAGACAGCTGAAGGCTTTTTGCATCATGAGACGCTCCACCATTCAATTCCTAGTGAGTGGTCGATAACCTACAATGATATTTTCGGCAAAAGATCTCGTTCTAACTTAGGCGAACTATTTTTTCATGGAAAGCTTTTCCTTTGTATCAAAATTATGTGGACACTTATTTGAAAAACGGCATTAGAACTTTCAGATCTGAAATCATTAGCCTACTCAAGGTTCTGGTAAGTTAAGCCACTTCTGTTTGCATGCTATGAACCGGAGTCTGGAGACATGTCCTGCAGACCCGTTCTAACTAGCAAATTTCACCGACGTGCTAGGTAACTATGTGATATTACTCTTTTGTTCAATTGAAGTAGAGACGGCGAAACCACGATACGTCTACGTTTCAATAAGGATGAAGTCTGAGGAATACGCCTAGCCGACATGCCAATCCGAAAGCTGTGGCGTTTATGCATTTTCCCAATGGAATGGTGTCAAGGGACCTCCTCTGCAAAACAAGTGTCTTCTAATGGTGACTTCTCGAAAAAGGTCGTGGTCGGAATCCGAGCACCTCGTTATGATCCTAGTTGGTCTATCTGACATGTTTGCAAGCCAAACTCAACGTTCCCTCCTTTGGAATCACCCCAGACCTTTGATGAACATCTCCGAATTGTCTCTTCGAGCACATCTGCGGGTCCGACCAATATCTCTCTCCAAAAGCCACAAGACCTACCGCGAATAGCAAGGTTAAGCTCCTCTGCAGTCGAGTTGGTCTGTGAGGAAAATCTCGCACAGAAAGTCTTTTATTCTAATTTTACCATTCCAACGAAAGCGGTGTCTGTGTAGGTTCAAGATATCATGTTGTGATCCTTTTTTAGGAGAATTCCAACCTTGCCAACCTGAATCCGCATTCTTGTACAAAGCTTCCTTCGTCTTCTTTCGTGTCATGTGCTTAGTTGATGAATGGGACACCGATCGGTCTTTTTCGAGATTGGGAAGATCATTTATGCGTGAAGTTGAATAGGACGAAAAGGAAAATTTGAGAAAATTAAGGCTATTCTTGCTATGTTTTTGAAAAAATATGCGATGAGAACAACCTTCAATCAAGGCCGAGAGCTTATGTTTCATGATTTCATATTTCCCTCCAAAACCTACGAGGACGCATGACTGATTGACGTTGCTATTCCGCACTAGGAAGGTTCAGAAGGATGGGGATCCCCATTTCTGGCTGGGACTTCTTCAGAAACGCGCTTGCCCGTGACGCGGAACGATGCCAGAATGAATAACGAAAGGAGAAGTAAAAATGGGTTAGGAAATCGATGCAAAAACTTCATCTGCCTCAGGGTGTCCACATAATTCTGATACAAAGAAGAAAATTTCCATGAAAATAGATCCTTGAATTAAAACGAAATTTTTTGCCGAGAATGTCATTGAAGGTTATCGACCACTAGGAGTTGAGTGTCAAAGGTATCATAACATGAAAAGCCTTTAGCTGACTTCTAAGAATCGATTCTAGGGTGTCCACATATTTTGGTAAGCACTGTATGGCGAAAAACTTGTCAAATTCAGAGAGAAATGAAGGAGGTTTCCTATTAGATTGTGCATTCAATGTCTGATTCCTTACTCAGCTTTGTTAAGATTTCAGCAAGCTCAGAAGATTATTAACTAGGTATTGGAACCTGCTCAATGTTGTCCACCAGGTGTATGATTATTATGTAAAATTGTGAGCATGCTACAGTAATTAATGGATTAATGGAATTTGCTCATACCCGAGAATTTCTAGTGGAATGATTTTTTCCATTCTCAAGTCTTTCTCCCACTGAACAAATATGCCACTTGAGGGAAGTAGAACTGTCTCCAAAGCAAATCAAAATTTTAACTGATTCGATTTAGCAGAAAAAAAGTTACGGTCGAAAAAGTATTACCGAAGACTTTTGAGCACTACTGCATCTGTGTTAGATTTGGTAATCGCTTGGTAAAAACCGAAGACTTAGGTAAAAAAAAAAGAAGTACAATTTCACATCTATTGGTAAGAAAAAAGTTTTGGATTCCGTTTTGCCTCCATTTTTGTGCAAAATCGCTCTTGAAAGCGGCTATAGTCGTTGAAATAGTGTCAGTGCGGCGAAAAGTTACCTTCTGTCGGCACTTGGACAAAAATCTTGAACGTGGCTATTCTTTGAATACTGGGCTTATAAGCAGTTCTAATAACTGTTAAGTAGAGCAAATCTTCTAGCCTAGATGACGTATTACCTTTTCAGATTGCACTGGTTTGAACGGAGTTTTAGCTGCAAAGCGTAAAAACTAGCATTCATCACGAATTCTCCTCCTTAATCAATCGAAGTTTGTATTAATTTGTATAATTCAACACTGACTGAAAAGATCTCAAAAACTCCCATATTCGCTTTAAATTGAAAATTCGTCAACTTCGAAGAAAATTATAGCCATAAATAGTATGTGTTCAAACCTTAGTAGTAGATAACCATCTCCCATGTCAGCGCCTAAGATCAATGAACACGCAGCTGCCAAAGGGGTTACAAAGAAGAACTCAACACTTTGACGACAACGCGGGGACGTATGTATATCCCGCGCTTTGCAGCCCATGTCGGACCGTGTGGGCACATACCCCCCCACCCATTACATTCATTTTTTCGCGCACGCCTGATTCTTTTGGAAGTTAATTGTACTTATTTTATGGAAGAGACCTTGACGTAGCTACAAACATATTGGCCCATAGAACAGTCATGTGCCTCAGTTTAGAGGAAGATTTCAGGATCATACGAAATCTTCAGTTTTATAAATTTTTCGTTTACCTTTTCTTTTTATGAATGTGAAGATTTAACTAGTTGCAGAAGTAGATACGAACCCCAGGTATGACAATGTGTATGTCTTGATTGAAATAATCAACGTAGAATTGCATTTGAGGTCCATTGCAGCTAGTTCTGAAACCTTTCGCTTTTTCATTGTGATTCCATGTCTTTCAATCGAAATGCCACTACTACACCCAGGTTGTGCTCACTACAGTTTACTGATCTCGTTTTGTACTGATCATTTTTATGTGTGTAACACTCAAAATCTGCTTGAACGACCTGGGGCGGCCGCGCCCGCAAAATCGCCACCAAAAAAAGCCAAAACTCGCGTTGTTGTCAACGTGTTAAACGGCATAATGGAATTGCCGGACACTCAGCGGCTACGTCGCGGTCTTCGCCGGAAAGCGCGTCAACACAGCCTGCAGTCAGCGAGCAGGCTGGATTTCCAAGAAATAATGATGAGTGTTGGTAGAAATGGAATCATAAATGATTGGTGTGATTAATATTTCATCGTTCCTGTGTTCCGTTTATACATTGCGCATACAGGCCCATTCGTGCCTTGAAATGAGAACCAATGACCTTTTCCGAGACACTGAAAACTAGCTAATTTTTGAGAAGGAATCGCTTAAGCCAAACATTTTGTTTATTTTTTCCTATGGTTTTCTGAAGTAGGGTGAGCCTATATGGTATGCGCGCAAAGGAGAATGAAAATGGTATCAGCTCGTTATTCTAACCTGACAGGAATTCATACTACACTAATGAGAGGTTCTTTGTCGTGAGTTGAGTGTCATGTGTTTCATGAGTTTGTTGTCTTATGCTGTCATGAGTTTCATTATTCCCAGAAAAGTCATTCTGTTAGAGCCCCTTCTCCTTTTTAACTGGGCCCGTAACGAAATAAGAGCATTGGGAGTATGATGACGTGCGGTCTGTTCTGGTCAGAACACTTTGGGAGAAATTGAATATATCTTGAAGCAACAGTCCCACCAAGGTTTTACCTTACACTAATGGCGTGAAACGATGCGCTAGCTCTAGTCAAGAACATAAGAAGTGTGATTGTTGTACAAAAAAACTCTCCTCGGAAAGTTGCTAGAAAGAGGGCTGGACTGCTCCGAAGTGGGTGTGGTTGGAAATCAGCCGAGGCGATTGCAGCCATTTCCAACGACGCCCACTCCGGAGCCGATAGCTCTCTTTCTAGCAGATTTCCAAGGTGAGTTTTTGTACAACCAAACTTCTTATGTTCTTGACTAGGGCTAGCGCATCGTTCCACACCGTTAGTGTCGAAGGTATTAGGTCGGTCAAAAAGTATCCGCCGTTTTGAGCAACAAACTTTGAAACACCACAACTTTGCTGGAACACATCCTTCTCCTTTGAAATAAAGACTATTATGTTCACCATAGTGTTGTCAATTATATCCATGCTAATATCTAACCTTCCGGTAGAAGTCCAAATTACAGCAAGTCTAAAGATGTAGGAAGGCGGTTTCGACATGCCCCAATTCTAAACGCGATTCCTCCTCCGAGAATTGAGGTCAAAAGCGGGGAATTGGTGTTTTGTTAGAGATATACCTGGGCTATATCAAGTATGGCAGATTAGGTTTCAAACCATTTCTGGATGGATTTTACACAGTGTGCTTCTCCGGTGGGCGGTCTAGCGCAACCGTGGTGAAGGATCGGACCCCATTTTTTCCTTGAAGTAGACTAGCATCCGGTAGTTCCTAGTTTCTATGTTCTATTATTTACGAAAATTGTCCAGCGTTGTCGAATGACTCGATTCTTGCATTATGCTAGGCCATCAGAAATTGAGTGAAGTCGTTGCCGGAAGCGGTCCATGTTTGGCAACATTCAAAGGCAGCTTAATTTCGTCCACTTATTTAGTAACCCTTCCACTGTTTGCGTGCAGTAGCATTGTCTTACCCTACGCTATCACCTATCTTGGAAACAGTTCCTTACTATTGCAAGGAAGAGTGAGCACACACCTCCACGCGCGTCTCAACGATTCAAGGTGCCGGCAGGAATCAATTCGATGAATAAGTTGACGACATTTTTCCTCCTTCCTCACAGCGTGCACCCAGCCGAGTTCGGTGCCACTAGAAGCCCAATATCCCCTGCCACTTGTGGTTGAGTATTCGTGATAAGCTCCCTTCATTCCTTTTGTACGATCCCGTTCATCAAGGTCACTGCTTTAGCTACGCGTACCAGCTTCGAGCTTTGTTTCTCCAGGCTCAAACCTGCAGAGCCAATCTCGCGCTATGCGTTCCCTAGATACATTCCTTCTCAAAGCAGTTACCATATTTCGGACTGGCCCTGCCGGGTCTGTTCAGAGTTTGAAGACAAGTACTGCCAACATAGGAAATCACGATTTTGTGTGACTCAAAAGGGAGGGCAAAACGACAGAAGTTCCTAGAATTAGCTCAAACCTCTGTATGTACATGAAAGGGCTGGTCTTTCTCTAAATGGTGGCAGAACATTTGAACAGTTGCAAGAGAATTCATCAAAAAAATAGTAGAACACTCAAAGTGCAATACGGCGGATACTTTCTGACCAACCTAATTAGACCCTGCTGGGGCTTTTGCTTTAATGGGGAGGAGCACGCGGGAGCAGGAGCATTTAATTTCACTTAAATACAAGTATGTTTACTGCCTCATCAGAAGGCTTAGGTGAAAAATAACAAAAACGTAGTTTAAATTAGCAACAAGAACAGACACACAACTGAAGAGAAGCCAAAGTACAACTGGCTCCCCTTTCTTAACGTGCAAGTCAGACTTGATCGCGGTTTCTATCGGATCAAATGGTAACGAAAACCCAGCAATAAGAATATCATAGTCCATTTTCGCTCAGCTCATCCCTTGAAGACAAAGCAGGCGATCGCCGACAACATGTTCAGGACAGCCAAGGCGGTCTCATCGGGCAGCCAGGAATCAGCAGAGTCCTTGAGACTCGCTCAAGAAATAGCTGCATCCAACGGCTATCCCCCAAACACCGTAGCTGCTCGGCACCTCCCGGTAGGATACCACAGGGACAGTCAACTGGAGAATCGGACAAGGTACCCTTTTGTGTACCCTTTCTGAGTGATGGGAGTGCTCTGCGAAAGCGTGGTATGGCCGATATCGTTCGGGCGGTCGAGATCCCTCCCCAAACCTTAGGCAGCAGCTAGTACGGAATCGATGGTATGACGCACATGTATCACCCCCCCCCCACTGCGTCATCTGTCCCAACGGACGGGAGGGTGACGATCGTAATCAGGAGTGATCTACCTGATCTCATGTAGGAGCCTGCAGGGAGAATAAATCGAGAAACAGGACGGGCCTCTATGCTCCAGAATAAAGGGCATCTGACGGCATGAAAAGATCAAGACCCGAGACCCCTTCAGCGCCCACAGGTTGCAGTGCCATGAGAACGCGGAGTTTGATGACCGAACCCCAGACCCCAGCACGCAAGACTCTGGAAGCATTTTGGATTGGCGCTAAAAGTCCTAAAATGAGCAGGAAAGACGAATGCCTGTCAATAACAAATGAACTCGCACCCTTCCTTGACCTGTGCGGGCTTCGACCGCCTACGGCTTCATGTCGGGGGTCAGATCACCTGGAGCCACCCATTGTCGATCAGAATAGCGGTGGTCTAAGCAACAACCTGTCGTGTAATTAGAGGTGAGTCTAACGAGTGCTTGTGTCTTGCCCCTCCTATCTAGATGCCTATGGTCTAGAACAAATTGCTCTGAAGTTCGAAATTGTGTTTGGTGGCTAGGTCGCACTTATCTTTGACTTACAGGCTCTGACGACGGCGACACGGCCGAAACGTTAGCCAGTAAAGTGATTACATCATCTTGGTGTCGGCTACAGAAGCAATCCTACCAGACACACAACTAGTATCGTAAATGTCAAAGATGAAATTAGAATGAAAAATGTGGTGCGATAGATTGTGCTGCTTACTGCAAATCCTATTTCTGCAGGGTTCCCTATGGAAAAATTGGCATCACTGCAGGCGGCACGATTTACCGAAGCACGCTCCTCCCCTTATCGGAATAGACTCCAAAAGCTTCCAAAGCTACATCTGGTACTTTTCCTGATCTGACTGAACTCTCCTAAACGAGTTGAATGTGTGCTGTAGTTTGCTAATAAGTGAGTGCTCCTTTCAACGCAGGAGAAAAGTCGGAAGAAAATCGAGATTGGTTAAATTCATGAAGCATATGGCATTCACTCGCTGGAAGAGAAGAGATGCTGTCATAGTATGCTTTTTCCACGACTTTTTTCGTCGCTTGTTGCTCCATTTGGTGGTGGGACTCATTGCTAATGAGTTTTCGTAGACTTTTTTTCGTCGTATTTCAAAATTTTCCATGACGCCTCGCTTGAACCTGCCTCTCATACAAGCCTTGTACCAGTTAGGCGAATACGAAGGGACGGAAGGGTTTAGTTAACAGAGCAAGACATAACCCGGTATTTGACCTTCTAATCATACACTGTGGTTGCTGCGTTCAGCGATACATAATCTCACCCGGCGAGATGAATGGGATTCAGTTTTTGGAAACGTCAAGTTATCTCTGCCATACCATTTTGCCTCCGCATGCATTCGCTTGCATCACACGGGACTGCAATGGTATAAAACAGGGCCATCCATGTTTTTATGAAGCTTTGTGGCAAACTCCCAAGCCTCGGTTCCACCCATCAACGACATTTGACCTCCCTTGCATCACCAACCTTCATGCAGTTAGTGCATTCCCTTCTAGTGCACAACCACCCATCAACAGCTATTTACCTCCCTTCCATTGTCAGACTTAATTCACTTTTTTCTCAGCCTGGTTTTCTTGGAAGTGAATTATAAGTCCGTTGGACAACTCCACAACATCGGTGCACGGCACTCCCATCATCAACATTAACTCTTCCCATCTTCTCTATCTTCTCCTGTCCACTTTTTGCCCGTCTCCAGGATGCGTCAGCCTGGCAGACTGTCTCGCAAAAAAGAGTAAGGCCCAGCGTATCGGGCGATACGACTGGTGTTGTATATAAGTTGGCAGAATTTTTATAAAAAATCGCACAGTGCACATCTCAGGTTTGTGAATTGTTCTAAAGAGCGAAAGTTCTAACCTTTCGCTAGAGCATGACGCTGAGTGGTGTGGGGCTACACCACGGAAGGAGTGTTCATCGACGACCTGCTTTGTCATCTGATTCCGACACCCAAGTCTCTATTCTGTGCCGATGCACATTCGTCGCTGCTTCGTCACATGTTTTCAAAAAAGAAAAATTCACCAACTAGGCCTTATCGTGCTGAAAACTAGTCTAAGATTTTCAGTTGAATACGAAAGAGTAAGATGTTGAGCGCAGAGACCTAATGTTGGTCATCTAGCGCTTCAAAATGAAATAGCTACCGAAATGCGGAAGAAAATCAAAGAGACTCTCAACGCAGTGAAGAAGACGCTATGTGAGACCTTTCCTTCTATAGATCAATCAGGTTGCGTAAGTAGGATAACATATGTACGCTACACATACAAATATACTTCTTATCTTTATCACTGAAGGAGCCTTTACAAGACATCAAGGCAATTTCTTCGAGAGCTCGACGAGCTAAATCCAATGTTGTCTTCGTATTAGGAAAAGTGTGCTTTAAATCGACTTGTGACAATATATTTAGAAAAAAGAACGTGGAATCGCTCTTGCGCGTGAGCTTTCGACGGTGAGTACTAAGCCATCTTCAAACTGTAGCACCTCTACTTCGGAAAGAAAATTAGATGTTTCCGGTCGGACAAAACTGTGACTGTTCTTCCATCCGTGTCAAAAAAATCTTTAAAAGTGCTCCGTGTCGGAGGCCTTGAAAAATGCCTACTCTTTCATTAATCATACGGTAACCATGTACACTGAGCTGCAACGGCGTCCAGCCAACAGCGGTTTTTGTGAGTAACGACGTGTGCAAAGGTTTTAAAAACACTTCCTGCCACTTCATTAGGCACGCATGTGTCCTGCAGAAAAAAAAAAGCCTCAACAGAAATTGTCCACTTCGTTACTGATACTTTTTAGCATCTGACGTGGTGCATTTGAAAGAAGATGCCGCACTCGAAGATGACACGAAATCAATGTTTCGCAGCTGAAGCTCATGCGTAAGAACAAGTACTGTGTTGAAAATATGTGATATAGCAATTCCAGGAGCCCTAAACGCGCTTTGCTCACCACGACTCAAACGGACAATAGGTAATCAGTTTTGTAGAACACGTTGGAACAGCCCCGCATCCAGCACTGAATCAATCCAAGGAATTATGTAAGAGCTTCAGGCTGGATCAATTACGGTAATATTCTTCCTTGAGCTCGAAAATGATTGCAGATGACGTCTATTGCGTAGGCAGTGAGGCCAGTGAAGGAGACTGCGTCTATTTTTAGTGGGGCATTCGAGGGATAATCTGCTTCAGAAATTTTTTCGACAGCGGCAATCATTGTGGCGAAAAAACCGCTGAAGTGCGACATAGGTAAAATGACTCCCCCCTGTATATGTTACGTCCCTAATGGGAACTGTACAACCGTAGACGCGAAGCGTAGAGGAGACGTAATAATATTAATGGTGTTGTAAGAGCCATATGTAGAAAGAGGCAGTTATGAGCGTGCAATCGGTAAGGTGTGCGGGGTCATCGATGAACGGCAAGGCTGACATTATGCTATTTGCTAGCTAGTAAATGCTCTATCAGTCGCCAGCGATGAGAAGGACTGACGATGGTATATTTGCATGGCCAGAAATGGAAAAGAGCAGCACGAGATGAACAATGATAAAAAAATCCGATTAACAGAATCAGAGAAACAGTTAGCGACAAGTCCGTATGAAAAGTAGAAGACAAGAGAAAAATACCCAAAGAGGAAAACGGAATGCAGTACGTTTACTTGCTACACTAGACACTGATGGTTCTTAGCAGTCAGCCTATAGAGCTTTCTAGTTGTTATGGATGTTGTTGCCTGCTGTAATTCATGGCGTTTCGCTGTTTTACCTGGTAACCGATTTCATTTTCTTTCCTGACTGTGTCACACCTACTACGTGTACATCAAACGAATAAATGAATGAACAAGTAAGTGAACAATCGTTGCCAGTAATAACAGCTCGAGTCAAGTAAGCGATCAGCGCAAATCGAATTTGTTGCCATCCGGCCATGTGCACTCACCAAAAAAGTCAGTCAGGACATGTAGCGCTTTCTCAAAACGGTTGTTTGCTTATTTAGGGACACTCGCGTTGAGCAAAAAATACAAATATGAGATTGGTTTTTTTCCAATCACCTAGGAATCACGAAAGAAATTCGAAAACGAAGGCTCGTTCGACCCCACTGAGGCAAATTTTTGCATTTCTCCGGTTTCCACTTTCTTTCATTCATATGTGATTAAATTAATTTACTGAACAAACCCTTATGTTACGTTGCTATTCAACGGGGCAAATACTGTTATATACATCAAAAATGAAGAAGATCTACTTTCTGACAGAATTTTCTCACCCTCTTTTAAAAACTCGAGAGCCGCTTGGAAAAAATTATTGAAAATTTATATACTCCACGCCCTGTAAAATGCAAAAACCATTTTAAAAAGCGCTCCACGTCCTGCACGACTTTCCTGGTCAGCGGGATTGCCCTTAATATGGCCACACCTTCGCTACTCTTTTGGTAATCAACATTTGATAATCTACGAAGCATTACGATGGTGCGACTTCGACAATTGTGACAAGGAGGAACTTCTTAAAGTACTAGCTCTCCCAAGCTGGTGCTACAGAAACCAAAAGGAAAAGCACGGCTGGCTGCTCGGAGCGGGGAAAGCAGATGGAGCCGGCTACGCCGATGTTACGGGCGGAGTATTCTACCTCTTAGTCATATATGAAATTCTTGACATTTAGCGATGAAACTCTCATATTGACATATATGTAAGCTTTTCCAGCACTTCAGAGCCATCGACCATTTCATATTTGATTTCTTCTACTGAGCAAAAGGAACGTTACGAAATTATGTGACTGTGTAGACGAAGACATTGCCGTTGAAAGCGCACGGTGGGAAAGCCGGCAGGTTCGACTTTCTTTCACATTGGTCACCTTCAAGCATTGTTTATGCAGTGCAAAACTGATTGTGGAGAAAACTACTGGCAACACCCTCACGAGAATGAGACTAGTCCAAAGATATTACAAATGAGGAAAGTTTCACAAAGATTTAGAACATACGCCATAATGTGTTTTAGACATACCGTCATATACTCACTTCCATCCACTTCTTCCCACGCTCAACGGTAGAATTAGAGGCAACTGGAAGAAGAGGGCAGAATTTAAGTATGTCGACTGGTCTCAGAGTCAAACACCACCAACAACCTTGCCGGTAATGCTGGTAGTCGTGGGACGGTGAGGAGCAGGGTGAACACGGTCGAGGAAATCCTCGACAGGGGGTCGTATTCGCTCCGATATTAGATGAGCGAGTCGTAAGCGCAAGGACCAACAAGGTTCATAGCGGTGCTGCTGCCACTCATTTGCAGCGTCATCACTAATTTTACAAACTTTTAGTTGGAGTGAAGCAAATGGTATCGTGAGACTGACCTAAATCCAAGAGAGATTTCCTTGGCTAGTTGTAATCAGTACGCTGTCGTATGGAGAAACGCGTCCTGCAAGACGAACAGTACTCCATATATTTCAAATGTGAAACATTTTCTCCAAATTGATGTACGCGCTTGAAAACTTGTGTAGCAACCGTGTATCACCTAAGAGTTCAAAACGAGAAGATTCGCAAATATCTGCGATCATCGGATTGCAGACGCAAATGCGTCAATCATAAGGACACAGTTAGAATGGAAGCGACGTAAATGAAGGAATGATCAAACTATGGTGATAGGAGTTTTTTATAATTTACCAAGACTAGAAACAAGTCTAGGAACACTTCCTTTCTGCACTAGCAAGTTTTCGTGCAGATAAAACATATTTCAAATGACTACGAGAGGATTCACTGCTTGGCGCATACTAGAACGGAAAGGTTCTGTACCAGGGTATCATTTACTATATAAGCCGTCGAAATGACGTGCATAAGAGGCAATCCAAGGGTTTTGAAAGAGCTCTCAAACTGCTGAAGAAAGTGAAAGAATCTCCCTATATCGGCGAAGGAGGATCATTCGATTGAAACTTCATAAATAGAGGAAGTAGAAGGTCCCCTCATTAACCTTCATTTTTAGCGCCGCGTTGCCAGAACCGCTTCCTGACAGTGACCACTGCCCAAGACTGCCGCGTCACAACACTTTCTCGAAGGTAAAAATCACACTAACCTCAGGTTGCACTAAAGAGGGAGTATGCTGGGTTGATTGCGAAATCTATATAAAACTTTTTCTAATCACAACACTCCACCCCTGGTTACAGTTTTTTTTTAGAAAATTTGGTAGCTTAACTTGCTGGGTGTGTAGGATAAAAGAGCAATCAGGTGATTCCACGGTTGAATTGCCTTAAACGGTCCATTTTCTTCGACAGCAAGAAAAAAGCAATCAGTTGATTCTACGGTTGAATTGCCTTGAACGGTCCATTTTCTTCAACAGCAGCAGTCTTCGGCCAAATTCGGTTCTTAAATGTGCCAATGTGGTTCGCAAACGTATGGAGCATAGTTCTGAAAAAGTGCAAAAAACCTTGACCATCAACGTCTCGAACCCTTGACCTTACAGCCACGCAACCGACACAGTATCCACTACTGTCCGCCACTGTCCCACAACAGAGCAATGCATGCGTATCGTATTCGTGCTGAACCTGGGTCTGCTCCGTATCACAACAAGTTCCGTAACTTGGTGCAGAGAATGGTTCAGCAGATATGGAGTTCACTTTTGAAGTCTGCGTACGAGAGCCTTTCGGATGATATGCATCATATTTCAAATGGCCGCTTCCACCTAACATCCTTCCCTGGTCAGCACAATTTAGAAACCGGAGTTCTCGCATATTCGGGATTGCCTTCCTTTTTTGAGATGGTTCTAATTGAAGAAAGTTACAGTCAAATAAGAGGTAGTTTTAGCGATTTTTCCAACTGGTGCGCTCCAATTGGCAATCGCGGACGGTCAGAGCCCCAATGCCGGAGCGCGAGACTGCTCAACGGTCTCTGTTCACTACCTTCCCCCTTTTCTACTTCCTTGCCAATGTGGCATAGATTACGTAGCCTGAAAGCGTAGGACGAGAAGCCAGTCTGACCAAAATTTGGTTTCCGATTCTAACCGCGGCGCACTTGCGTCTCAGTGGCGCTGTCTTCCTCTTGCGCATCTGAAAATAACATTTCTGCTATAAATCGGATGCGTACAGGGTAAAAAGGGGTCGTGTTGGAACCTTCATCAAGTAGAGGGGGTGTAGTAGGGACGCGTCCATTTCCTTGACTTGTTTCACCCTGGTAGGGAGGATCGTATGGGGGGAGGCACAAGGGTGATGGTGAATGTTGGCGCTCAGTCGAATCCCTTTGAGGGAGATCATGGAAACTCTTCAAAATGGAACAACGAAGGTTGACCGTGGTGAAAAAGCCGCACTGACGACCAAGCCTACGCCTTATCAATCAACCGATATAATATCAGGAATGTGAATCTGTCTTCAAGATTAGATGCTGAGTTTCTTCACAACAATGCTAGGTCGTGAACAAAACTTTCGCCCCAAATCGGACTCGAACCCGCACCTTTTGCTTACCGGGCAAGCGCGTTGCCATACGCAACCGGGGCACCATTTTACTCCATGCGGGTTCGAGTCCCGTCTAGGGCGGAAGCTTTGTTCACAATCTAGCATTCTTGTGAGACATTCGCAAGGCGAACTGCGACCAAAAACAGCAGTTAACTATCAAAAACTGACTTTACTCATTTATGTATTAACTCATATTAGGTTGAGTCATAGGTCAGTGCTGATTCTTCATTCCCGCGCACCTCTCCTAAAAAATGCTTGTGTTGTTCCCGCAAAAAAAAAACTATGTAGCGACCTTGGTGTCCTTTCATATTACAATACCCAACCATCAGTACGCCTCTTCGAGGAGAAATAATGCCGTCCGTTCTATCTACTCGTCACTGTCAATTTTGAGAGTTCCGTTTGGGGCACTCAGCAACGCAGTGTCGGAATATCTGTGAATCCGGAGGACCGGGTTGCTAG